TCGTGGCAGCCTCGGAGACAGCCGTTTCCTCTGATCCACCCGCTGGCTTCTCCCTGGGGATAGAGGTCCGGGTACTTCTGCATGCACTCCTGCATGGCCCGGAACTGGTCCACACAGTCCGACCCCTTGACATCCTCTGTGCTGTAGTGGAAGCAGGAAAAGGCCGCCTTGAACTGTTCCCCACACGGGCCACTGGCCATGCCCCCCAGGCATGGGCAGTTCCAGTTGATGTCTCCGTTGGGCAGGATCAGCCCGTGCTCCTCATAAGGATCATTGGGGTCGTCGGCCACCAGCTCCACATTGCTTGGAGTTTCATGGTCTTCTTTGGTCACAGATATGATTCGATCCTTCCCTTCCTGCCGGCAGTAGGCCATGGTGCAGCCCGGCGCTCCGACCTCACGGCGACTGTGGCGGCGACCTCACGCCGTGACCTCTCCTGTGATAATATTTTGATGTTTATGTTTGCTTCAGCCAGGCAGCAAAGGGAACTACCCATCTTAGATCACTCTAAATTAAAATTTTATACTGAGACTTTTCAGGCCATAGAGGTAGTATAAATTCAGGGCCCAAACTCAAGTACATCAGTTGCCTGATGGTGTGTAACAAATTATCTCAAGGCTTAGTGGCTTAAAACAATCATAACACTTTATCTCTCATGGTTTCAGACAGAGAGCAGTTGTCTCTACCCCATGATGGTTAGTACCTCAGCTGGAATACCCAAAGGCTGGAGACTGGAATCACCTGACTTAGCTAGAGATGTGGGCCAGAACATCCACATACCGTCAATCCATGTAGCCTGGGCTTCCTCACAGCCTGGTGACTGTGTTCCTGGGCAAGTATGCGAGAGGGCCTGCCCTCAGGGGAGCCGCGTTGCCTGCTGTGGCCTAGCTTTGGAAAGCACGTAGTATCACTTTGACTGCATTGTGTGTCAAGGCCGTCACAAGTCACATCCAGGTTCAAAGAAAGAAATACCACCTCTTGATAGGAAGCAGCAAGGTTCTAGAAGTGCATGTGGACTAGAATTATTGCAGTGGCTATATTTGGAAACTACAGTGTGCCACACCAAGTGAAGGCGAGTGTGTCGTTGACAGTTCTCAGGGGGTGACATTTTTCTTACTTTCCCTTCCATTAGAAACAAGTCTAAGACACAGAAGTAGCCCCACCATCTCTGTTTCGGGTGGCTTTTCCCCTAGTTCACCCACTGTAGGTATTGCCTTCTGAGGGTCCTATCTTTGTGTGGAGGTTTCCTTATTCGTGCCCAAGTTTTATCTCCTGTCCCAACTTCAGGCCACCAGCTGACCTGGCTTCAGCTCCACCCTACCTATCTGGATTTGTGCTTACCTACTGTTTATGACCTCCAAAGACAGCCCTTACTTTCCTGCCAGCTCAGCCATACATTCTAAAACATGCTTGCCTTTTATTTCACATGTTCAGGTATCCTATGGGGGTTTCTCCAGACATCTGACTCACCATATTTCCTGAAACAGAACTTATCAGGTTATTTTCACTATTGCTTTTTTTTTCCCCCTGATTTGTTTTTTGCTTTTTTTTTTTTTTTTTTTTTGGTGCACTAGGTCTTCGTTGCTGCGCGCGGGCTTTCTCTAATTGCAGCAAGTGGGGGCTACTATTCATTATGGTGCGCGGGCTTCTCTTGTTGCAAAGCACGGGCTCTAGGCACGTGGGCTTCAGTAGTTGTGGCACGCGGGCTCAGTAGTTGTGGCTCACGGGCTCTAGAGTATAGGCTCAGTAGTTGTGGCACGGGGGCTTAGTTGCTCCTTGGCATGCGGAATCTTCCCAGACCAGGGCTTGAACCTGTGTCCCCTGCATTGGCAGGTGGATTCCTAACCACTGTGCCACCAGGGAAGTCCCTCACTATTGCTTTTTAATCATGAATAATTATTCAAAATTTTCCTTATTGAGATAAATTTAGATCCAGGCTCAAAAGTGTTAGTCTCATCTATTTTACTCTTTTCTTTCTAACCCAATACATTTGGGATTTCTAAAAATATATGATCTTAAGATTGACTGCATCTTATTAAGAATGGGATAAATTAGTAATATTTAAAATATGAATTATGGGAACTTCCCTGGCGATCCAGTGGTTAGGACTCTGCACTTACACACACACACACACAATGTAGTTCTATATAAATAAATCTACATTAATCCCATTTGTTTTCTGCCTTCTAGAATAATGATCTCCAAGCTTTTTGGGGGTCACATTTTCCTATTGGTAAAAGCTTTTGAGCATATACTCCCATTATATGTATATTTATTTATAATTATATTAAGTAGCTAGACCACTGAATTAATGTGTACAGTCTAAAACAATGAAAGTTGACATTTATAAAGGACAAGGTAAACAAATTAGGAGGAGAAGTTCCAAAACCTTTCCTCCCTCCCAGCAGATGGTCCTATGCACCCCACATGCACCCAGGGGACACTGTTCTAGAGAATGCCAGTCAGGAGCTGCTGGAGGGTCCCAGACACTTACTCCACTGAAGTGCCTACACGTTCACCAGAGTGAATGAAAATGTTGAAAATGCTCTCTGACTTCAACTCCCTAACTTGTTCTAAGTTCCTCAGTTCAAACACAAAGCAATAAAACCAGCTCCAAAAACACCTTGGCCTCACTTCTAAGCTGTTTCTCACAACTGTAACCAGCGTCTAACATGCTCGGCCTCTGAGGTTAGGAAGCCCGTCACTAGTGTACGTTAGACTATTTACTTATCACCAAAGATAAGTAACCTTGAGATAAAATGGAAGAGGGGAACCTAAAATATAATGACCATCACAAAAATTGACAATTTCTATTTGACTCAAAAATCTGTGATGAGAACAGTACAAAATTAAAGCTATTTTCTGGAGTCTTTTGGGGGTTAGTCCTTTTATCAGATACAATGTAATGACTGTCTCCTATCTGGGTTCAAACAGTTCAAAACTAGCCCTAGAATAACCCCTGCCAAAGTTGAAAGGTTTCACTTGGGAGTTTCTTTCTGAGTTTTCTGGAACAGTAAGCAGAGCCACTCTCTGCTCGGGGCCTCTGGAGTGCCTGCCTTGTGCTGACACCAGGATGATACAGAGTGGCTTTTCAGGTCAATGACATTTAGGAATTAATAATCAGATCACAGAGGAAAGTTCATACTTCTGAGCAGAATACTGGAAATGATTGCTTGCCAGGGAAAATAGCAGAAGGCTTCCCAGAGGGAATGGCATTTGATCTGGATGATGAGGAAGAATTATAATTCAGGAAGAAAGGAGAGGAGGAGGGAGGGGGAAGGTAAAGATAAAGCAGTCAAGGAAAGAGAAGATAAACACTGAGCACCTGACTAGGTAGATGTGTCTTATCATATAATCCTTAGGAGAGCCTTTGGAGACGGCCATCATCCCCACTGCACAGGTACAGAAACCGTGGCTCAGGAAAGTTAAGTAACTAGCACAAAGCACACATGCAGTTATCTGCTGGAGAGTTGAATTAAGGGGGCCAGTAGCTAGACAATTGCTCATAAGGGCAATTTAAGTGGTACCAAAACGTCACTGTATGTTATTTGTAAGGATACAGAGCAGTTACTTAACAGAACCATTCTTGGGAAGTATAGTGTATGTGTTGGGAAAATAAAGAATTCGTAAGCTATTTGGGGGGCTGATGTGGTCCAGATCCCCAGGGACATGCTGGGATAGCTGGTTACTAAACTCTGAAGGAGGCTACTTTCCTGTAACACTCAGGAGTAGCAGCCTCTTTAAATAAGTGCTTAATAGGGCTTCCCTGGTGGCGCAGTGGTTGACAGCCCGCCTGCCGATGCAGGGGACACGGGTTCATGCCCTGGTCTGGGAAGATCCCACATGCCACGGAGCGGCTGGGCTCGTGAGCCATGGCCGCTGAGCCGGCGCGTCAGGAGCCTGTGCTCCGCAACGGGAGAGGCCACAACAGTGAGAGGCCCGTGTACCGCAAAAAAATAAGAAAATAAAAAAAAATAAGTGCTTAACAGATATTTGAAGACTATCAATTTAAAGGGGACCAAACGACATATACCAGGACAAAAGTATAATTCAAGAAGACACACGCACCCCTATGTTCACAGCAGCACTGTTCACAATAGCCAAGACATGGAAACAACCTAAATGTCCATCGACAGATGAATGGATAAAGACAGTGTGGTTTATATATACTAAGGAATACTACTCAGCCATAAAAAAGAACGAAATAATGCCATTTGCAGCAACATGGATGCAACTAGAGATTATCATACTAAGTGAAGTGAGTCAGAAAGAAAGACAAATACCATATGATATCACTTATACGGGGAATCTAAAATATGGCACAAGTGACTCTATCTACAAAACAGAAACAGACTCACAGACATAGAGAACAGACTTGTGGTTGCCAAGGGGAAGGGGAGTGGGGGAGGGAAGGAGTGGGAGTTTGGGATAAGCAGGTGCAAGCTATTATATATAGGATGGATAAACAACAAGGTCCTACTGTATAGCACAGGGAACTGTATTCAATATCCTGTGATAAACCTTAATAGAAAAGAATATTTAAAAAAGAATGTATATATGTGTATAACTGAGTCACTTTGCTCTACAGCAGAAATTAACACAACATTGTAAATCAACTATACTTTAATTTAAAAAATAAATAAGATTAAATAATAAGGGGCCCAAACAAATAGTGTGTCCAGATGCCTGACTTGTTCTGAGTGGTTACAGAAGGGTCAGGCCTAAATCTCTTTAACTGCAAAGCAGCTGCTCAAAGCCTGTAGCTTGGGGCTGAAAGGTACATAGACAGGCAGGCAGATGGACAGACACAGGGAGAGACACAGAGATGGGGAAGAATTCAAAGGTGATTCTAAAGACGGCTTCTCACAGGAGTGTCTGATCACCACCACAGAATTTTCCGGTAGCTTAAATCCTATAGGGAACAAGATGAGATAAGAATGAGTGAACCGATAGATCTCCACTGATAAAGAAATCGACAACTGTGTATTTGTTATCCTCAGGAAATTACTACAATCAAGGGGAGACTCGTAAGAAGGAACTTTTGCAGAGCTGTGATGTTTTGGGGATTCCACCCGCCAACGTAATGATTATTGACAACAGGTAAACTTATCTTTTAACAAGTGGAAATTCATTGGCAATAAAAATGCAGTGGTACACTGAAAAGACACAAACATAATGTGGGTGGATCAGAACATCTTACTTGAGAAGTCTACAGAAAATAGTTTCACGTTTGTTTTTAAGTGACAGTGTAGTGCAAGTGAATTTTTTCAACTTCTGTTCAGATTTTGTCTTAAGATAGCTGCTTCTCTTGAATCTTTAAAAAAAAATTATTATAAAAAATTTCAGGGACTTCCCTGGCGGTCCAGAGGTTAAGACTCTGCGCTTCCATTGCAGGGGCCACGGGTTCGAGCCCTGGTCAGGGAACTAAGATCCCGTATGCCGCGGCCAAAAAAAATAAATGTCAAAAGTGTAAAGAACAGTATTACGAACCCCACATGCCTGTAATCTGAGACCAGTGATTGTCAAGGCTTTGCCGTACGTACTTGATCTAACTCCACATAACATCTGTTGTGTGTGAAGCTGTGGTTTTTTTGCAGTTGTAACTTAGCTGTTATATATTTTAAAAAAATTTTTATTGGAGTAGAGTTGATTTACTCTGTTGTGTTAGTTTCAGTGTACAGCAAAGTGACTCAGTTATACATATACGTGTATCCACTCTTGTTTTAGATTCTTTTCCCGTATAGGCCATTACAGAGTATTGAGTAGACCTATAAGTAGGTCCTTATTAGTTATCTGTTTTATATATAGTAGTGTGTATGTGTCAATCCCAGTCTCCCAATTTATCCCTCCTGTGTATTTTAAAGAAAACCCAACCATCAGGTTATTCTATCCCTATGTACTTCAGGATACAACTCTTAAGAAGATAGACTTTTTTTTCATGCAGCCACAATGTCATTATTATCCATCTAACAAAATTAATAGTAACAGCAATTCCTTGGTTTCTCCAATACCCAGTCCATTTTGAGCTACTCCAAGTAGCTCAAAAATGAATGTCTTTTCACAGTTGGTTTGTTCAAATCAGGATGTAAACAAAGTGCACACATTATACCTGGTTGATATTCTGCGTGTCCCTCCCCCCCACAACCTTGTCACTGATTGTTGAAAACCTGAGTCAGTTGTCGTACAGAAGGATTTGTCTGTCTGCTCCCTCGTGGTTTTACCTAAGTAGTTCCTCTATCCTCCATATTTCTTGCAAACTGGAAATGAACGCTAACTTTCAGGGGTAAGAAGCTGCACTGTGTACTCCCTGTTCCGTCATTTCAGGACATGTACTATCTGTCTCACTTTTAGTCACGCATGTGACTATCTGTCACACGTACTGTTCGCCTCACTCTTACTGAGCTCATGTGGCAATGGCCGCCCCTTTCACTGTAAAGACCCACATCAGCCTTTCACGCGGCGCTTTCACGAATCCTTAATTAACTACAAGTTGCAAAATGGTGACTTTCTAAATGTCTCCTGCGTTCCAAATGTATTAGCTATATATTCTTCTATAAAGCAGAACTTTATCAACTGGGGCTATTTAGTTATCCTGATAGGTACTTTGATCCCAAAAGACTAAAAGGCTAAATGCTTAATTCTTTCCCTTTAATCGCCGTTTTCAGAATAGGAGTTGATCCCCTACATACCTCCGATGGTAACCCATTGTTTGCTTGTTTGCAAACAAGGGGGATGGGGCCCCTGCTTTATTTCATTAGGAACTTCTGTGTTCACGTGCTCGGTTTTTCAGCTTAAGTCACTGTGCTCTTTGATACCCCAGTTGTCTCCTCTTTGGTCTCTTCATGTTGGCTCATGCATCCTTTTGATAAGAAACGAAGACTCTGACTTAATTTATTACAGTTTTTACATATCCCGAAGATCATGCAGCTTCAGCAATATCCCCTACTTTGAAGATGCTACAGGAGCTGGGGTTAGTAAACTTGTTAAAAATAAATACTTCAAGAAGCCAGTTTGAAGATTCAAGGAAACCAGGTATCTTAGTCTGCTCAGGCTGCCATGGCAAAATACCAGAGACTGGGTGGCTTAAACAACAGAAGTTGTTTTTTTTTAATATTTATTTGGTGGCACTGGGACTTAGTTGTGGCACGTGGGCTCCTTAGTTGCAGCAGGCGGGCTCCTTAGTTGTAGCATGCAAACTCTTAGTTGCGGCATGCACGCAGGATCTAGTTCCCTGACCAGGGATCAAGCCCGGGGCCCCTGCATTGTGAGCTCAGAGTCTTAACCACTGAGCCACCAGGCAAGTCCCCAGAAATGTATTTTTTTCTCACAGTTCTGGAGGCTGGAAGTATAAGATCAAGGTGCAGCAGGGTCGATTTCTGGAGAGAGTTTGCTTCTTGGTATGCGAATGGCCGTCTCCTCCTCACATGTAGCAGTGAGAGAGAAGTTTCTCTCTTCCTCTTCTTATAAGACCACCAGTCTTATAGGGTTAGGGTCCCACCATTATGACCTCACTTAACCTCAATTACCTCCTAAAGACCCCGTCTCCAAATACAGTCACATTGTGGATTAGGGCTTCAACACATGAATTGTGGGAGGACACAATTCAGTCCCTAGCAACATGGAACTTTTAGTCTTTCAGCTTCTCATTTCCTAACCCAGAAAAAGCAGAGCTTTGGAATCTTGCTTTGGGTTATTTAGATGGGTCAAAGAGAAGAATGAAGGGGAGAAAGAGAAAAAGAAACGTTTTATGGAGGACCTACACTCGGAATAATAATGATAAATGTATATTAAACTGTTATTGTCAGTGCCAAAGACCATACTAAATACGTGATCTTAAAACCTTCAAAATAATCCAATTACTTCTTCCATGTTATAGATAAGAAACAGGCCTAGTGAGAGGTTGAGTCATTTGCCCGGGGTCATCCAGCTAATATGTGGTAGAGCTGGCGTTCCAGCCGAGGCTCTCTGGTCACTGTGCTTTGTCAACTCCATGAAGGACTCACAATTTCACAAAGGTCATCTCATTTAATTCTTCCACTAACTGTAGAAAGATAGGTCTTTATTATCCTTTCTTAGTTTCACAGGAAGAAACTAAAGCTTAAGAGACTCGCCTGAGGCCAGACATTTAACAAATGGCAGTCAGTGCTAGGATTCGAAAGCAGAAAGGAAGACAGAATTGATTCCTGACTTTCTGCGAGAAAGTAGGTCACCACTTTGTTAGTGTATTTGAAAGACCAATGTGTGTTTAAGAGAACATTTGGTTGATGTTCTGTGCTTTCTTTCATTGTTCTGAACTTCGTGGCTGGATTTCAGGGAGACATTTAGCCAGAGGAGCTCAGTCAAGTAAACCCTTATCCAGGGACTTCACTGGTGGTGCAGTGGATAAGACTCCACGCTCCCAATGCAGCGGGCCCGGGGTTTGATCCCTGGTCAGGGAACCAGATCCCACATGCATGCCACAATTAAGAGTTTGCATGACACAACTAAGGAGCCCAGGTGCTGCAACTAAGAGCCTATGCGACCAAATAAATAAATAAAATTTTTTTTTTTTAAAGTAAACCCTTATCCAACCCCTTAAAGAGGGAAAAAAGTTCATGTCTCAAGATGAGAAGGCATCTCAGTAATCAGACAACCAAATGGATACTTTGGGTAATTCTACCTAGTTCCTTAATATCTGTGGGTTCTGCTAATTTAATGAATCATATGATATTTAACTGCATGTTACTAACAGATGCATATTAAGTGCCTGGACTGGGAAAGGTGCTGTGCTAGATGCTGAAGAAAGAGAACAGTTCAAGGTCCAGGAGCCGGGTAGTAGGTGTTGGCCTGACCGGCACCACTGCTGAGTGCAGAAACGTTCATTGTGCCAAGGTTCAGGCCTAGAAGGGGCTTAGAGACCCTCTCCAGGGTACTTGGGAATTGAATGTGATTGGGAAATGCAACCTACAGATTTAGTATTCATTTGTTGCTTTTGTGCTTCTTAATATATTAGGAAGAGTCCATAGAATTATTTCATTTACATTTCAAAACAAAACAAAAGGTAAACACACATTTCTGTACACATAGATAATTTCTAAAAGAACATATACCAGACTCGTTAATAGCAGCTGCTACTTAACTGGACCAGGGAAGGACACTTGCACTTCTTAATTCCACAGAATTCTGTACAGTTTTATTTCGCTTTTGCTTTTTTAGGAAGCCTATATTACCTTTTTTTTTTTGCGGTACGCGGGACTCTCACTGTTGTGGCCTCTCCCATTGCGGAGCACAGGCTCCGGACGCGCAGGCTCAGCGGCCATGGCTCACGGGCTCAGCCGCTCCACGGCAGGTGGGAACTTCCCGGACCGGGGCATGAACCCGTGTCCCCTGCATCGGCAGGCGGACTCTCAACCGCCGCGCCACCAGGGAAGCCCGCCTATATTACTTTTTAAAGTACAAGCAGAACCGCACATATATGGAATCTAAAAATAAAAAAGGTACTGATGAACCTAGTGGCAGGGCAGGAATAAAGATGCAGATGTAGAGAACGGACTTGAGGACACGGTGGGGAAGGGTAGGCTGGCACGAAGTGAGAGAGTGGCATGGACATATATACACTACCAAATGTAAAATAGGGAGCTAGTGGGAAGCAGCCGCATAGCACAGGGAGATCAGCTCGGTGCTTTGTGATGACATAGAGGACTGGGATAGAGAGGGTGAGAGGGAGGGTCAAGAGGGAGGGGATATGGGGATGGATATATGTATACATATGGCTGATTCACTTGGTTGTACAGCAGAAACTAACACAACACTGTAAAGCAATTATACTCCAATAACGAAGTAAAAAAAAAGACAAGCAGACCTCAGACATATCACAGGTTGGGGTCCAGCCCACTGCAATAAAGCGAATATCACAGTAAAGCAAGTCACAGGAACGTTTTGGTTTCCCAGTGCATATAAAAGTTACGTCGATATTATAGCATATTATTAAGTATGCAGTAGCATTCTGTCTAAAAAGACAACATACATAGCTTAATTAAAAAATAGATATCATCTGAGCCTTCAGCGAGTTGTAATAATAACATCAAAGATCACTGATCATAGATCACCATAACAAATAT